TCTTATTTTGAGAGAGTCTCATGTAGACTGCTGGCTGGAATTCATAACTTTGTAGCCCAGGTTGGCCTGGAACTCAGGGCCATCCTCCTGCCTCTGCCCCTTGCTTATAGACATTAGCCACTGTGCCTGTGCTAGGCAATTAAGCCTAGTGCCTCACACATCCTAAGCAAGCATTCTAACACTGAGCTATAGCTGCAGCCCTGCAAATTGTCTTTTTTTTTTTTCCAGTCATGGATTCTAGATTTGAGAGGGATTCCTTAGGTCTGGTTCTGTAAGGTAGAGGTGCCCAACCCTGAAGAAAGACTCAAAAATGGTCACATGCAAATCCCTTGACACTATTGTAGTTCCAACTTAAGAATGAGTTGGAGGGATGTATTTTCCCAGAAGCCATGTAAGTTCTAGGACAATGGTGCCTGCAAGCTTGTCCCCTGACCCTCAGAAGAAGCAGTGGAGAGTGGGTAGCAAAGCCATGGCAGCACGCATGACAAGCCGTGTGCAAGCCATTGGATTTCTCAGGCTTTCCTGATTGCTTATCTACAGAGTGAATGAATTGAGCAGGTCATTTCCTAGGTCCTATAGGCTCTGATGTCAGTGATTGGGATTTCCGATTCCTGGGTCAGCATCTGGGTGTGGATTTGGATGGCAGCATTGTGTAGGAGGCCAGGAATGCTGTGCTCCCAACCTTTGCATATTTTCTTGAGGTGCTCACCAGTTCATGTTAGATAACCAAGAGAGTTGCACAGTCACAGACTTTTTGGTATTCTTCATTTCATGATGGAAAAGAATGTCATTGTCCTGGCCTCTGCTCTTTTTTTTTTTTTTTTTTTTTTTTTTTGTCTTTTTTTTGGGGGGGCAGGGTCTCCCTGTAGCCCCAGCTGTCCTGGAACTCACTATGTAGACCAGGCTGGCCTTGAACTCACAGAGATCCGCCTGCCTCTGCCTCCCGAGTGCTGGGATTAAAGGTGTGCACCACCACGCCCGGCCCTTTTGTTTCTTTTTTTAAAAAAAATTTTATTATTATTTTATGTGAATGAGTGTATTGCCTGCATGTGTGTAAGTGCACCCATGTCATGCAGTGCCCGTGGAGGTTAGCAGGTGTTCGATTCCCCTGGAACTGGAGTTATGAATGATTGTTAGTCACCATGTGGGACCTCTGCAAGACAGTCAGTGCTCTTAACTGCTGAACCATTTCTCTAGCCCCGCTTTTGTTTCTTAAAGTAGCTGTTTTTATTTTAATAGCATGATTTAGTCCCTAATTGACAGAAATATATGGTTGTCCAGATTCCTAGGTATTATGCTTCATTGGTAAGAGAAAATGTTACTCTTGGTATAGCTACCTATTGTCCAGTTCTAGGAGTTTTCTTTTTTTTTTTTTCTTTTTGTTTTTTGACACAAGGCCTCACTCTCTAATCAGGCTGGTGGGGAACTTGAGGACCTCCAACCTCAGCCCAAGAGTCTTTTCCTTATAAGCCTATTAAATAAAGCTCTGATGGGAAGAATATGTTTACCTATAGGGAAGGCTTACAGCATTTATATGTATTCAGTACGCATACATATAAATTAGTCAAAAGAAAAAATGTTTTTGCTTTCTTTTCTTTTTTAAAAAGATTAATTTTAAAAAATTTAATTATGTGTTTGTATGTATGTGTGGGTGCCTGCAGAGGCCAGAAGAGGGTATCAGACCCCCTGGAGCTGGAGTTACAGGTGGTTGTCGGCCACCCTACATGGGTCTTGGGAACCAAAGTCACGTCTTCTGGAAGAACAGGAATTCTTAACTGCTGAGCCATCGCTTCAGACCCATTGCTTTCTTTTTGAATACCTTCAGATACCTCTAAAAATTCTATTTGCAGGGTGTGTGTGTGTGTGTGTGTGTGTGTGTGTGTGTGTATCCATATATGCATATGTGTGCTCAGGTGCATATGCCTTTAAAAAGCAAATATTCTTAGACTTTTCCCTGACCGTATGTTTTAAAGGTAAAGATCATTTCAGTGAAAGAAGTGTTTCAGATTTGCTGTTTTCCTATATAATAGTTGTTTTTCTTTGGTATAGAATTAGATAAAACCATATAATTAATGTACTAATTCTTCCAATAAAGGGTTTCTCAAAGAATAAATAGAACTATCTAGTCATGGTGGCAAGAGCTTATAAATCCCAGTACTCTGGAGATTTGGACAGCTTGAGAGGCTCTGTGTCAAAAACATGATTTTCCTTCCTTCCTTCCTTCCTTCCTTCCTTCCTTCCTTCCTTCCTTCCCTCCCTCCCTCCCTCCCTCCCTCTTATTTACGTCTCTCTCTCTCTTTCTTTCTTTCTTTGTTTCTTTCTTTCATCTTTTTGAGACAGGGGTCTCCCTGTAGCCATAGTTGGCCTGGACTTGCTGTGGAGATCTGGCTGGCCTTGATCTCACAGAGCTCCACCTACCTCTGTCTCCCAAGTGCTGGGATTAAAGGTGTGTGTCACCATGCCTGGCTCATCAAAAACATGTAAAAAAAATTACTATTTTAATTTTTTGTGTATGAATGTATTGCTTGCATCTATATAACTATACCTATGACTTGAAGTGCCTGAGGAAGTCAGAAGAGGGTACTGGATCCCCTGGAACTGGAGTTATGGACAGTCGTTAGTCACCATGTGGGTGCTGGGAACTGAACTTAGATCTCCTGTAAAAGCAGCCAAGCAACCAGTGCTCTTAACTGCTGAGCCATCTCTTTAGCCCCCCAAACCCTTTTTTTTTGTTAGTGGAAATTGTTATCTTGAAACTTTCATCATAATATTAGTGAAAGTAATTTTTTTCAGAATCTCTGTATATGTTTTGTAAAATTGTTTTTTTTTTTAGTCTTTTTGAGACAGCGTCTCCCGTAGCTCCAGCTGCTGGCCTGCATTCACTGTGGAGACCAGGCTTACAGAGATCCGCCTGCCTGTGCCTCTGCCTCCCAAGTGCTGGGCCTAAAGACATGTGCTACCACACCTGGCTGCAAAATTGGTCTTTAAAATTACTTTATTGTGTGTTTGTGTGTGTGGTGTATACATACCTGTGTGTGGGTATACATGCCCATATGTACACACAGAGGCCAGAGGACTGATGTTGGATGTTCTGGTTCACTGCTCTCTGCCTTATTCCTTATACAGTCTCTCACTGAATTAGAACCAGGCTGGTGTCCAGCATGCCTCAGGCAATCCTGCTGGCACAAGCACTGCCAACACTGGGGTTACAGGCATGTGCAGCCACATCCAACTTCTTATTTTAAACAATAATACTGTGGATTTGAATTGAGGGCCTCTTGTTGAGCAGCAAGCACTCTTCCTCATTGAGCCATCTCCCCAGCCCCCAAATTGGTTTCTAAAATGATACAAGGTGAGGGAGGGGCTCATGAAGTTCCACTGCTCTTGAGGAGCTATTGGTAGTTGGTAGCTACTAGGAAAGGGGGAGTCAGTTTTTTCCAGAGATGCAGGCCCTGAGATGCTCCAGAATATGTTCCTATACCCCTGTACATACAGGCAGCACTAAATGACCTCAGTGGATAGTAAAAAGAGAGAGATTGGTAGCTGGGCATGGTAGTGCAGGCTGGGGCTACAGGGAGACCCTGTCTCAAAAAGACCAAAAAATAAATAAATAAATAAATAAAT